TTGGTAGCCCAGGCTGGCCTCGAACTCACAGAGATCCGCCTGGCTCTGCCTCCCAAGTGCTGGGATTAAAGGCGTGCGCCACCAACGCCCGGCCCTGATACCATCTTGAACGAAACTGCTCCTCCGATCTGCTCCTCCGATCTGGTGTCACCAATGGGACATTAGTCAGATCAGGCCTGATAGACTGGATTAAGTCCATCACAGTCCATCACCTCAAGACAGTCTTGCAGAGGTTCCATGAGGTCATCATCCCACAAGAGACTGACAAGGGTGAGGGCTCACATGTTGTGGAACTAAAATGCAGGGTTGATCCAGAAGCAGGGCTTGGTATCTGGGTCACCTTACCCCACCCCAGGCATTAGACATCATCTCTTGGGTGCCCCCCTCAAGAGGGCCTCAATAGAATATGGGGCTCTCAAGAACAAATCTTGCCCTAAAGTTAATTTGTCAACTGCTTTTATCAGCAGGGTGATGGCAACTATAGCCCTTAGACATGTTGGCCATCCGCCTGCAACTGGGTCAAGTCTCTTGGACAAATAGGCCACCAATCTTTTTCCAGGGTCCCGGAGTTTGCATGAGGACCCTTTTGGGAATGCCTCCAGCTCCATCTGCATACAAATGAAATGGCTTAATAATGTCTGGAAGGGCCAGGGCAGACACCAGGGCCTTTTTCAAGGTTTTGAAGAAGGTCCTCTGCTCAGTCTCAGTTCATTCCAAAGGCTTTGTACTCCTGGTGCTGACATAGAAGGGCTTGACTGAGCAAATTCATACTCATTTTCATGGCTGGCAATATCCAGCTGCCCCTAGGAATTCCTGTACTTGTTTTTGTTGTTGTTGTTTTTTATTTTTTTGTTTGTTTTGTTTTAATATGGGAGCAGGGATTTGCAGGACGGCTGACGTACAGTGTATGCATTTGCTTTCCTTCCTCTAGGTTGTAGCCTTGGTTTATGACCCGAGGGACACACAGCTGAACCTTCTTGGTTGAGACTCTGTACCCTAGGGCTCGGAGGGATTCTAAAGGGCCTTCTGTTGCCTGTCTATATTCTTCCTCAATGGTCAAAGCTATGAGAGGTAATCATACACTGGAGCAAATGCTGCTTTGTGGATATTTTTGTCTAATTCCTTTCTTGGGGCTTCATCAAACAATGTTAGTGAGTTTTTAATTCTTTCTTCTGGTCTGTTTCCCTTATTTCATCTGTTTCTCCAAGGGCAGCTATCACCACATGGGAGAGTTTCTTTCCTTGTCTGTCTTTGAAAAGTTGACACCTACTCATCCCTTCAAATCCCTCTGTCTTAGTTAAGATTTCTGTTGCTGTGAAGAGACACCATGACCACAGTAACTCTTACAAAGATTTAATTGAGGTGGCGACTTACAGGTCAAAGGTTCAGTCTATAATCATAGCAGGGAGCATGGCGGCATGTAGGTTAGACATGGTGCTAGCTATGTCTTGATCAGAAGGCAACAGAATTCAGTGACATGCTTCCTCCAACAAAGCCACACCCACTTCAACAAAGCCACACCTCCCAATAGTGCCAGTCCCTATGGGCTAATGAGGGCCTATTACATTCAGTCTATCACACCCTCTAATTTCTGCAGCTTTCTTCTTATGTCTAGGGCCAGCTGTGTGACAAAGGCAATATTAGTGTCTCACCAGTTTTAAGGGACATCTAGGTTTATGGGGGTAAATAATCTGGTATGCCTCACAGAACCTTTCCAGTAACTCAGCGGGCAATTTGTCATCAGGTACTTGAGTATCCTGACTTACCTTGGATAAGCTGGTAGGTTTTATGGCTGCCACTTTTAATCCTTGCAGTGATGTTTGGTGGGAAGTTTCCAATGTCTCCTTACCTACATTGTTATTAGAGTCCCAACTGGGTCCAGTTAATGACAAGGTTCACTCTGTCTGGGCCTCTACTTTGGGAAGTGTCCATCTACCCAGCCCCCGAGTCTACAACTTTCCAGCCAGATTTGGGTCTACTTGGTTATAAACAGGGTGGCCAGGAGCTCCTGGCAATCACTCCAAGTCAGCTGGTGTGTATAGAAAAGTCTCCAACAGGCTGATAGATGCTGTCCTGAAAGGGAGTGTTTTAGGTCTTCTAGTTATATAAATCACTGATGGAGAAAGGGACCACTTCCTTCAAGGGTAGAGCAGATGATGGTCGCACAGCCTCAGACAAAGCTTGTCTGGCCTCCCCATAGCCAGAGAACTCTGTGTGTTGGGCGTGGGTGGGACCAGGTGTAATAGAGCCAGCCTCCCAGCCTCTCCTGGGAAGAACCTTTTTCTCTAGCCCCTCTCACTTTTCTCATTAGTCCAGTCAGAACATAAGGAGGTGAAATGTCCATCTACAGAAACAGGGTTTCTCTGTAGCTTTGGAGCCTGTCCTGGAACTCACTCTAGACCAGGCTGGCCTCCAACTCACAGAGATCTACCTGCCTCTGCCTCTCAGTGCTGGGATTAAAGGCGTGCGAAACCTCCGCCCAGCAGGACCAGGCATGAATTAGCTGGGGCATCTTGGCCTCAGGTTCTCGAACTGAGTTTAGTAATTTTCCACTGGGCTTTCTATCAAGGTAATCAAATTCTAGTCAAACCTAAAATGGCTTCAGCAAGACTACAAGATGGAGGAACCTCTGCATTGTCTTGCCCTGTCCCAGAATACTTAAGTTGGTGCTATTGCTATTCGTAATAAACTGCCCCTTTGTCTCTGATCTTTGAGTTACTTGCTTTTGCTCACCATTGATGAGACTTGAACTACTTTATTAGGTTGCAAGTAAGGTAGAATCTCAGATCATTTTACTGTAGTTTATTTCAGAGTGGCTTACTTGCTGGAAAGATAGTGCAGGCATAACTTAAATCTTATTTGTTCTTCTGTTTGTTTTTATGAGACAGGGTTTCTCTGTGTAGTCCTGGCTGTCCTGGAACTCATTTTATAGACCAGGCTGGCCTTGAACTCACAGAGATCCACCTACTTCTGCCTCCTGAATGCTGAGATTAAAGGTATGTACACCACTATCTAGAAAGTCTTATTTCTTGTTTGTTTTTGAGATAGGATCTCACTATGTAAACTCTGACTGGTCTCTGCCTCCTTAGTGTTGGGTTCAAAGGCATGCTCTCTTAGGCCCAGATAAACCTTAGCTCTTAAGGTATATGTGTATGTAATACTTAATGCTTATATTGATGCTGGAGAATAAGCCTTGTGACTAAAACCACACACTGCCATGAAGCCCCCAGTTCTTAATTCTTAGACTCATTTTAAGGTTTCTTTTTGTCGCCCCTCCCAGATGTTATTCTTAATGTGTGTATTTTGCTTGCAAGTATGTATAACATATGTGTGCCTGCTCTATAGAGAGAGTTCCAAGGCAGCCAGGGCTGTTACACAGAGAAACCGTGTCACAAACAAACAAACCAAAAAGAAAAAAAAGGAAACATTTAAATCAAAATATAGTGTCTTTATACTAAGGAAAAGACAAAATGAACCCCTGTATAAAGGGTTAAAGTTACTTATTCATTACTTGAAGTAAGTTCTTTCTAGCCCAGGCTGCCTTTGGTTGGATCTGTGGTGATGTATCTTCCTGCCTCAGCCTCACAACTGCTAGGATTACAGCTGTGAGCCATACTATCTAGATATTAAAGATTTTGTTTGTTTTAACATTTTGTGTTCTGCATGCTGGATAACTTACATTTGAAAGTTCTTGCCTCCCATCGTGTAGTCTCAGGATTGAAATCACTCATAACCAGGCTGGGCAGCAAACACCTTTACCTGCTCAGCCATCTTACCAGCCCAAGGGGTTTTTGTTGTTCTTAGGGTTTTTTTAGTTGATTAATTTTGTTATAATTTCATACCTGTATATAATACATTCCGATTGTCCTCCCCCCACCACACACCCTCCTTTACCCATCTGCCATCCCTGTCAGTCTCCCTTCTTTCCTACAAATCTCTTGCCCATGTCTATGACTTTCTGTATTGTTTTGTAACCCATTGAATTTAACCAAAGACCATCTATGTGACCATGGGTTTGTGGGTTCCTCAGTGAGTACACAACTGAAGATAATGACTTTCCGTTTCTAGAAGTGTCAGTAGCCAGTAGTAGCAGAAAAAGTAGGGGTTCATGAGGCCCTTCCCCATTCATGGCTGACTGGTGGCAGGGCCAGTCTCGTACAGGCTCAGTACCAGTAACCACAGCTGCTGTGAAGTTTCTGATTAAATGGATGTATCTCCACATTTTGCAGGATTTCTGTTTTCCAGCTCTTGAATTCTTTCCACCCCCTTCCCTTGATGTTCTTGAAGCTTAGAGTGGTAGATATATATATATATATACATAGATATATATAGATATAGATATAGATATAGATATCTTGTTTAGGGCTGCACCCTTGCCCGTCATTCTTCTGCAGCCATGAGTCTTTGTATTCACCATGGTTCACTGCAGTCTTCTTTGATTAAGACTAAGAGTAGCACTTGTCTCTATAGACAGGATATTTAGGAGGTACTTTTATACCGTGTCTGTTTACTAACCAAGAATATTAAGTGCTCCCTACTCCCTTGGGTATATGACTTTCCCAAGCATGGGTGGTTTGGGTTTTATTTTGTTTTGAGACAGGGTCTTACTGTATAGACCTGGCTGGTCTTGAACTTACAGAGATCCACCTGCCTTTGCTTCCCAAGTTCTGGGAGTAAATACATATGCTGTCACACCTAACAAGCATGGAATTTTTATCCAATATTAGGAGACATGGATTCCCTCTTAAGGAATATGCCTTAAATCCTAACAGTAGGCAGTTGGTTACCCTCATAACAGTCATGTCACTATTACAATTGAGCATCTTCCCAGGCAGGTTAATATTGTAGTCTGTAGGGTTCACGGCTCAGTGAGACCCTTGGCCTTCCCACCCCCACCCCCAGCAGCCTGCAGAGCACTTTCTGGCCTAGCCAGAAAGGAAGTTTCTAGCTCAGTTCCAGCTTGATTTCTCTATGTCTTGGAACTCAAGTGTGTAGTGTCAGCAGTAGAGTTTTTGTTGTTGTTGTTTGAGACAGGGTCTTTCTATGTGTCTCTGGCTGCCCTGGAACTCACAGAGATCCACCTACCTCTCTGCTTCTCAAATGTTGGGGATTAAAGGCATGTACCACAAGGCTGGCCTAGCAGTAGAGTCTTATAATCCACATCTTGTATGTAACCCAGAAGAGCAAGATCATGCATTTGGGGAGGATTTCGATATGAGTGAGTCTCTTTGTGGGCGTGTGCACATGAGTACAATCCCTGTAGAAGCTAGAAGGCATTGGATCCTTTGAGCTGGAGTTACAAGTGGCAGTGATCTGCCCAGTAAGGGTGCTGAGAGTAAAACTTTGGTCCATTTGGCCTTCTGTGGCAAAAACAGCAGGCTCTCTTACAACTGAGCCATCCCAGAACCCTAAGACTGAGATTTTTATTTAGTGATGATTGCTTCTAGAACCAGCATTATATAGCCACGCAGGTTCTCTCCTTTCAAACTTCCATGCTTTAAAAAAAAGTTTCTTTTGCATGGTTGTTTTGTATTTGTGCATGTTTGTGCACATGTATGCTTGATGCCCTTTGAGACCATAAGAGGGTATCTATGCATTGCATGCATTCAGTGACTACTGAGGCCAGAAGGAAGTCAAGAATCCCTGGAACTGGTGTTCTAGACCTTAGTGTTAGTGAGTCTTGTGTATGTGGGTGCTTGAAATAAGGTTTACTTTGTTAAAATCATTCTTCTCGTGAGTTTCTGAGTACAAGCATCATGAGTCAAACAATATCTAATCAGGTGAGATGTGGAGCCACTAATATGAGGGTATATAGCTCAGGCTTGTTGGTGGAAGTTTCTATCCTGCCAGCAGCTCCCCAATAAACACACTGAGGCCTACATTAATTATAAATGTTCAGCCAATAGCTCAGGCTAATTACTAACTAGCTCTTACATTTTAAGTTAACCCATATTCCTTATTTACACTACACCACGTGACAGTACCTTTATTAGCATGGCACACTTATCTCTGGCTTCCCCTGCATTTGGCTGGCAACTCCAGACTCCATCCTTCTTCCTCCCAGCATTCTCTATTTGGCTCCCACACCTAACCTTATTCTGTTCAGCTGTTGGCTAGTCAGCTCTTTTTTATTAACCAATGAGAGCAATACACATTCGCAGTGTACTGAAGGGTTACTCCACAGCATTTTCCCCTTTTTGTCTAATTAAGAAGGAAGGTTTTAACTTTGACATAGATTATATACAACAAAAAAAGTTAAGTAAGAATTACAGTTGAAGTATCCAGTCTATTTGTACTTGGCAAAATTAGAGAAAATACTCTTATCTATCTTTGTGAGTCTAAATTTGCTTTTTATTATAACTAAGGAAATACTTAGTTTATACTTATTTTGCTTTTTATCATAACTAAGCAAAATTATAAATTTAACTACTTAGTCTTTAACTCCATCAAAGACCCTAGAGGGATGAAATGTTACCTAATCTAATTATTCTTTATTAATAAAAAATTGGGAGTCAGATATCAGGGTAAGAATCTTGAAGATCAGAGAAGCAGGGGAGCAGCCACCAGTGACTTCCTACCTCTTCCGTTCCTTTCTCCAGAAAGGCCGAGATCCTCTCTCAGCCCTGCCTCACTGCTTCGTGTCTCCTCTCTGCCATAGTCCTCCAAACCTCTATGGTTAATTTTGGTCAGCTAGAGGCTGGCTCTGTTCTCTGACTCCAAGCAAGCTTTATTTGTCAGAACACAACCAAAAGCATTCTCAGATTGGCTCTCTCACCTAACCTTATCCTGTTCAGCTATTGGCTAGTCAACTCCTTTATTAACCAATGAAAGTAATACATATTCACTGTGTACAGAAGGTTTATTCCACAGGACAGGCTGATCTCAAATTCTTTATCCTCTTCTACATCCCAAGTGCTGACATAGAGTGTGCCACACTTCAGGCTCATAGTTTTACTAAACAAACATATTTCACCTTAAAACATAAAAGTAGCAACAGTAGAAGCTGGAGAGATGGTTCCGTGGTTAAGAGTGCTGGCTACTTTTTTCATAGGACTTGAGTTCAATTCACAGGACCCATAGGGCAATTCATGGAAGCCTTTAATTCTAGGTTCAGGGGATGTGATGCTGTCTTCAGGCCTCTGCAGACACTGTGTGCAAGTGGTACACAGACATATGCAGCCAGAACACCCATACACATAAAATTAATACTTGAAAAAAGTATCAACAGTAGAATTAGACAGTTACATTTATCACTAAACTACCATTATAATCAATTTTCTAGACCCCTCATCTAAATTGCTTTTCTAAGACTACTCCTTAAAGGGAACAAAAAAAAAAAAAAAAAAAAAAGGGAACCACCTCAGTCTTAACTGTTCTTTTGTTGTGTTTTGAGACAGGGTCTCTCCGCAGGTTAAACTGGCCTCAGACTTGTGTAGTCACTCTGCTTCTGCCTCCCAAGTGCTAGGTTACAGGTGAACCATGCCTGGCTCACTGTAATTTTCTTAGTATCCATTTGTTTTATGTAGAAAAAGAGTTAAGAGTTGAGTTTTTCTCTGGAATATTAGATTGGAAAACTAACATCTTGGAGCAGTGTTAACATGGTGGTGACATACTATCCAAGCAGAGTACTCAACTATTAAGAGCTGCTTCTACAGAATAGAAAGCACAGTTTTGACAGGGGTCAGATTTAATTCAATACAAGAATTTAATCTGTGTTTCCTTTTGAAGTTTTGCTCATTTTGTTTTGAAGATTTTGTATTCATTAGTTATGTGTTCAATTCAAAAATTATATGTGTGTGTGTATCTGTGAATGTGTACCGTGTGTGAGTGCCTGTAGAGGCCAGAAGAGGCTGTCAGGCCCTTGGAGCTGCAGTTACAGGCAGTTGAGTTGCTGATGGGTGCTGGGAACCAAACTCTAAAAGAGTAGCAGGCCCTCTTCACTGATGAGGCATCTGTCGCTCCAGCACCATCAGTGTTCCCCACTTCTAAGACTCTCCTTTAATTTTGCAGTGTTGGAGATTGAACCCAGAGTCTCATGTATGCCATGCTAGCACTCTACTACTGAGCTGTGCTGAAGCCCTCCCAATTTTGTTAACTGACAGTCTACAATATAGGCACAATTTGGGGAGTTGATTTATAACTAATGTAACTTCCTTGGAGCTGAGTCATAGCAGAATTCCCCCATCTTCTGACCCCTAGGTGCTTTGGGTTTTTATTTTGATCATGTTTTTTCCCTCTTTAAACTCCCCCCAGATCCCATCTCCCTACCCAACCAACTCTATGTTCTTTCTTTCTTTCTTTCTTTCTTTCTTTCTTTCTTTCTTTCTTTCTTTCTTTCTTTCTTTCTTTCTTTCTTTCTTTCTTTCTTTCTTTCAAAACAACAAAAACCAAAACATCAAACAAAATCAAAACAAAAGACCAGTACAACAAAAAAAAACCAAAATGAAGCAAAACGTTCACCAAAAAATAAGAATAGTAATAACAAAAACATGGAGTTCATTTTGTGTTGGCCAACTACTCCAGGGCATAAGGCTTGCTCTGGAATGTGGTCCATATACCCAGTGATGCTCCACTGGAGAAAACTGATTTTCCCTTTTCCAGCAGGTAAATCAGTTGTAAATAGCTTCTTGTTTAGGGGTGGAATTCCATCTCACTTTAACCTGTACAGGTCTTGTGGGTGCTGCCAAACAGTCTCTGAGTTCATATGTGCATCAGTCCTGTTGGGTATAGATGACATTCTTTCTTTGGAGTCATCCATCACCTCTGGCTCTTACAGTCTCTTTTCTGCATAGATCCCTGGGCCTTGAGGAGAAGGTTTGATGAAGACATTCCCTTTAGGACTGAGTGATCCAAAGTCTCTCACTTTCTGTACATTGCCCAGTTATGATTCTCTGTGTTAATTCCCATCTATTACAAGAAGAAGCTTCTCTGATGTGGGTTGAGGGAGGTACTGATTTATGGGTACAGCAGTATGTCATTAGGAATAATTTTATTTGTTGTGTTCCTTTAGCAGAATAATAGTATTAGGTTTTCCCCTAGGCACATAACCTATCTAGTCTCATATTCTTGCCCACTTTAGCTGTATTGGGTATGAATTCTATCTCATGGAATGGGCCTTAAATCCAATCAAAAAGTGGTTGATTACTGTCATAGCATTGGTGTCTTAGTGCACCAGTGTATATCTTGTAGGTGGGTCTCTACTGTAGGTTAAAGGGTTTGTAACTGGGTGATATTGATGATCAATCCTCCCCTTTCTCCTCTGGTTCCATGCAGAGTGCCAAGACCAGGCATGCTAGCCAGTTAGGGATGGAACTTCTAGTTAGGCACCAGCTGGACATGTTCAATGACATAAATGTTGTCTTCAACCAAAGACCTTACCATCAGGTTATAGAGAAGAACCAATAGCCTCATCAAGAGCAAGTGATAATTTGTGGTGAGGGGATGTTTCATGGGACACTTTTTGGCCAATGATTTGACAAGATGGAACCCATTCCTGACACTGGAAATTTCACTTGAAATTTTGGTACTTTTTTTTTTTTTTAATTTTTTTTTTTTGCTTTTTTGAGACAGGGTTTCTCTGTGTAGCTTTGCGCCTTTCCTGGAACTTGCTTTGGAGACCAGGCTGGGCTCGAACTCACAGAGATCTGCCTGCCTCTGCCTCCCAAGTGCTGGGATTAAAGGTGTGCGCCACCACCACCCGGCTGAAATTTTGGTACATTTTGATGTATCTGGTTGGGTCATTGTCTCCCCTGTTATTTGGTGACTCCATTTGGATTTCCTACATATGTGTATATATTTTAGGAAGCTTCTCTAGCAGTGGTTCTCAACCTTCCTAATGCTGTGACCCTTTCTTTAAAACAGTTCCTTGTGTGGTGACCCCCAACCATAAAATTATTTTCCTTGCTACTTCATAACTGTAATTTTGCTACTGTTACAAATTGTAAATATCTGTGTTTTCCAGTGGTCTTAGGTGATCCATAGGAAAAGGTCACTTCCAAAGGGGTCATGACCCAAAGGTTGAGAACAACTATTCTACTGAAGTGTGTTTCCGTATGGTTTTTCTAGTAACCTGTAATATTGGTTGTTCCTCCTTTTGCTCCCTCTTTTATCTCTTTCTCCCATCACCCTCCCTGTTTAATTCTATTCTAGGTTCCCCTTTATCTTCCCATAACACGACATTCTATTTTCTCCTTCCTCTGGAGATCCTTTCCTCCCTCCCTGGTCCTTTACTAAAGTCCCTCAACTTAGTGGTTATTCAGATTGTAGCATACATATTGAAAGCTTAAAAGCTAATGTCCACATATAAGTAAGTGAAAACAGATTTGTCTTTTGGGGTCTGGGTTACTTCATTATTGAGGTTCCATTTATTGTTGTTCTTAGTGCCTATGCTAATGATGTTCTGTTCAGAAAGTCCTTTCTGTGACAATGAGTTTAAGACTATTTCCCACTTTCTCTTCTGTCAGATTCAGTGTATCTGGCCTCATGTTGAGGTGTTTGATCCATTTGGAGTTGAGTTTTGTGCAGGGTGATAAGTACGGTTCTATTTGAATTATTCTACATGCAGCCAGATAGTTTTACCATTTGCTGAAGATGCTGTCCTTTTCCAGTGTGTATTTCTGGCTTCCTTATCAAAAATCAGGTATCCATAGGTGTATGGACCTAGGTTTAGGTCTTCAAAACCTGTCTGTTTTTATGCTGGTACCATGCTGTTTTTATTGCTATAACTCTGTAGTACAGTTTGAGGTCAAAGATGGTGATAAACCCCTCTAGCAGTTCTTTTATTATTCAAGATTGTTTTAGTTATCCTGATATTTTGTGTTTGCATTTGAGGTTGAAAATTGCCCTTCTGAGTTCTGTGAGAAGTTGTATTGGAGTTGAGTTTTGTGCAGGTGATAAGTGATAAGGGATTGCATTGGATTTATAGACTGCTTTTGATAGAGTAGCCATTTTACTCTATTAATCTTACTGACCCCTGAGCATGGGAGAACTTTCTTTCCATTTTCTGATACTGTCTTCAATTTTCTTTAGTTTTTGTTATACACAGCTTTTTGTTTGTTTGTTTGTTTGTTTGAGACTATTGTAGAAGGTTGTTCCCCTTATTTTTTTTCTCAGTATGCTTGTCATTTGTATATAGGAAGGCTGCTGATTATTTTTTTTTTTTTTTTTTTGAGACAGGGTTACTCTGTGTTGTTTTGGTGCCTGTTTTAGATCTCGCTCTGTAGTCCAGGCTGGCCTCCAGCTCACAGAGATCCACCTGCCTCTGCCTCCCTAGTGCTGGGATTAAAGGTGTGTATATTCTTTAGTGTTTGGGGAGAATGTTCGTTAGATGTCTGCTAGGTCCATTTGACTTACATTATTTAACTCCAGCATTTCTCTGTATTTTTTGTCTGGATGACTTGTGTATTGAAGATGGTGGAGTATTGAAGTTATCCATTGTCAGTGTATGAGGATCAGTATGTGATTTTAGCTGTAGTACTGTTTTTTTTTTTTGTGAATGTGGATGGATGCCTTGTATAAGTTGCATAAATGTTTAGACTATTAATATCCTTTTGTGGATTATTTTCCTTTAATGAATATGTAGTATCTCCTCCATCTCTTCTTAGTGTTGTTTTGAAGTCTATTTTATCAAATACTGCAATAGCTTGCTTCTTGGGTTCATTTACTTGGAATACCCTTTTCCTTTCTTTTACCCTGACGTGGTGGAGTTTCTGAGATGCAGCAGAAGGATGGATCCTGTTTTCTAGTCTGTTAGTCTGTGTCTCTTTAGTGGGGAATTAAAACCGTTAATATAGAGAATGGTTCAAACTTGCAGGAATGAGCGTCTCAAACTGCAAGTTGTCAAAGGGGAGGACAGAGGCTGAGAAAAGACAGAAGACAGAAAACTGAGGTCACGAGGAATATATATGCTGGCTCATGCCAGTAAGTTTAAGCACCACAACATCTTATATACTGTTTGCAGAGGGAAAAATGGTACAGAATCAGCAGAAAGCTGTCACACAATGGGACAAAGTCAGCAGGATGCTTATCAAGCAATATTGCATGAAGGGAACACAGGATATCTCAAGCTGCCTTGGTATTGATAACCACATCCCTTCAGAGGAGAAAACCGACTCCCTTGAGGCCCTGGCAGACCCAAAATGGACAAGGACACAGAACTAGCTAGCATTCCCTTTGTCTTTTCATCGGGACCTCTGAAAGGGGCTTGGATTGGCTTGGACCCCAATGGAGAGTTATTAATGAGCAGTGTTTATTGATTCCTTTTATTTTGTTGTGATGTGGGTATTTATTTTTCCCCTACTTTAATTTCCTGTTCTTGGATTATTTATTCCTTGTATCCTCATGGGTATAGTTAATCTCTTTGGTAAGTTTTAGGCCTCCTGAAGGCCTCTCTGCAGACGCAGCAAACCAAATCAGACCGAATTGGAAAGACCAGATTTAATGGGTAAAGCGCTCTGGCCATCCCCAGAGAGGAGGCAGGAGGCAGGAGCCAGATCGGAAGAACCACGCCTCTGCTTTCTGGGATATCCTGTGGGAGTGGTCTTGAGCCTCTCAGGGAGGAGCTGTGTTTGGCAGGATTTGAAGGGGCGGGTTTGTTGAGGAGCTGTGTTTGGTGGGCTTTGAAGGGGCGGGTTTAGGGAAAAAGATGTGGAGGGGAGTTGAGGTGGATCTTTCACCAGACTCCTTCCAAACACTCTTCAGACTGAAGTTTTCTCTCTAGTGCCTCTATAGAGCTAGATTGTTACATAGAAATTACTTAAGTTTGCTTTTTTTTTTTTTTTTTAAAAATCAACTCGGCTCCTCCAGAGAAAGGCAATTCTTTTTTTTTTTAAGATTTATTTATTTATTATGTATACAGAAGAGGGTGCTAGATCGCATTACAGATGGTTGTGAGCCACCATGTGGTTGCTGGGAATTGAACTCAGGACCTCTGGAAGAGCAGTCAGTGCTCTTAACCACTGAGCCATCTCTCCAGCCCTAAGTTTGCTTTTATTGTGGAATTCTTTCTCTCTCAATTGTGATTGATAGCTTTACTGGATATAGTAGCCCATCCAGGCTGGCGTCTGGAGTCTCTTAGAGCTTGTAGAACATTCATCCTTTTCCGGCTTTCAGAGTCTCCATTGAAAATTCAGGTGTTACTCAAATGGACCTTTTTTTCTTTTTTATAAAGGAAAACATTTAATTGGGGTGACTTACAGTCTCAGAGGTTTAGTCCATTATTATCATGCAGGACATGGTGGCATGTAGGCAGACATGGTACTGGAGAAGGAGCTCAGAGTCCTATATCGTGATCCACAGGCAGCAGCAGGAGACTGTGTGCCACATTGGGTGTAGCTTGAGCATAGGAGACCTCAAAGCCCACCCCCACAGTGACACACTTCCTCCAACAAGGCCACACCTACTCCAACAAGGAAGGCCACAACTGCTAATAGTGCCACTCACTATGAGCCAAGCATTCAAACACAGGAGTCTATGGGGGCCATACCTATTCAAATTCAAACCACCATGCATGGTTGTCCATGCATGATTGGATGGCCCCATGCCTGTGTGCATTTGGGTGGGCAGCACTAATTGGACTGAAAAAGTAAAGGACATGAAGGTAGGAGATAGAAATGTTGGGGGGGGGTCTTGAGGAAAGTGGTGGAGTAGACATAATTAGGATAAATTGCATACATGAATAGAGTTTTTTTGTTTTGTTTTTGCAGTTTGATTGTTCTTTGTTTTATATCTAGAATCTACTTATGAGTGAGTACATACCATGTTTGTCCTTCTGGGTTTGCGTTACCTCAAATAATTTTTTTCTAGTTCCATCCGGTTGCCTGCAAATTTCATGCTGTCCTTGTTTTTCTCTGCTGAGTAGTACTCCATTGTGTATATGTACCACATTTTCTTAATCCATTCTTCAGTTGACGGGCATCTAGGTTGTTTCCAGGTTCT